ATCAATTAGAAAACCAATAACAACCCAACTGGGCAAAAAACAACCAATACACAAAGCATTCAGATATAATTAGATAATAAAATATGAAAAGAATTAATTTTTCTAGTAGTAAAATAATTGAAAACAAAAAAGTCCATATTTTGCTTATTAAATTGAGCAGCTCTTTAAAGATTATACTCAGCTATGCTACAAGTTCAGAGAAAAAAAGTACTTGCATATACTTCTTGTGGGGAGTGACTCAATAATCTCATTTCTCTGAATTAATCCCAAAGAAACGATGCAGAAATGACACATGAATATTAAGTGTAGCATTATTTATAGCAGTGAAAACTTAATATACTATAGAGGACTGATAAAATATAGACTTTTTAATTATTTACTCAGTATTTTCACATAGATGCAAAGGGGGAAAAGATAAGTATCTTTAATCTAAAAGGAACATTTATAAATCAACAATAAATCTATTAAAATGACCAGACATGGACAGGCAATTCACATAATAGTAATAGTAATCAGTAATTTTTTTAGTTTATCATAAAGTAATGAAAGAAGGTAAAACTAATGTCAATCCCTAATTCATCACATTGGAAAATACTCAAGTGCATTTGTAATATAACCATGAGTATATTAATGTCTACATATGAGTAAATGTAATCAAAAGACTAGAATAATATTCACTAAAATGTTAGTAACAATCTCTTCTGGGTGCTGAGATTATTAAGTGATTTTATTTTCTTCTTAGAAAAGCACTAAGAAGAAAATAAAATCTATATCTATCTACATTTTTCAAAATTTCTACAATGAACATATATAATTTTTGTAGGAAGATATTTCAATTTGTTTTCAACAATATATTGATGAGGATAGAAAATATACATGCTATAACACTGAAGAGCAAAAAGCAGAAATAATATGGAAATTAATTCGATCCACTGAGGTATATACACGTTATGTACAGGAAAAATAATGGAAGAAGACATACCATGCAAAGTTTTGCGTAGATATCTCTTGGTTGTAAGAACATGGATGATTTTTATGTTCTTCTTTAATTTCTTCTATGTTTTCTAAGTTATTTTATAATGTTATTATTATAATCATAAAAATAAAATGTATGAGTTGAAGTGCTTCACTCTTCCTGTCGGCAAAATAAAGCCTCCCCCATTTCAAGTGGGAGTTCTGGACACCTTTCCCCTAGAAAATTAACTTGGTCCATTTTCTCAGTCCTCCCCCAGAGCACCTGATAATCAGCACGTCTTCGTACCTTGTTCGTTTGACTTTCGTGCTTTCGGATTGGTCTATACTGTTACGTCACTGGATGAATATATGACAGAGGTAGTCAATTACAACGGAGGCTGGGCGTTCAGGAGACGAGGTCCTCTCCTGTCACTGGCTCCAAGCTTATCACCCAGCCTTGGGCATGTCACACCGCCTCTCTGGGGCTCAGTTTTGTCACCTTTAAAATAATGAGGTTGAACTAAATGCATCTTTTCATGTTGTGTTCTTTGGGGAGCTGCTTTAGGGTGATAGGGAGACTGTGTGGGTGGAGTTTCAGACCCAGAGACCTACCCTCAACTGGAGAAGCTCTGTGTTTATCTGTTCATTTTTTTTTAACTTGGAGTTCCACATAAAAATGTGTTGGAAAAAGAGCTGTTTTTGTTTAAAAAGTGTGGAAAAAATACATTTCCAACTCTTGCTACCTCTCCCAACCCCACTTGATACAAACTGGATTTGTCTCATCTGACAGTCTGGACTACAAGCCTGAGAAGGCAGAATGCTGCTTTCGGCTAGAGTTCTAGTTCTGAACAGGCAGGTGGAAAGAGTATGTGTTTCAAAATGAAAGCATCTCAGTTTGAGTCTTGGTTCTGCCCTTGTCTGACATTTATTTAATGTATGATTTGGAGCTTTTCTTTTTACCCTTCTGCCATCCAGTTTCTTCATTTTCAAATGACGATACAAATCAGATCTCTATCACAGATTGTTATAAGAACTCAATATGATATCACAAATGTAAAGTGGTTTATATAAAACATCTGTTCTACAAAGTTAAGTTATTCATAGTGAAGGTAATCACAATCCCCACGCATTCATTCATTCAACAAATAGTCACTGATCATTCACCAAATGCAGGTCTCGTATTCTCTTCAATATGCCCAAACTTCAAGACCTGCTAGGCTTACATTCAACATATGGATTGAAGGAGTCATGTCTATAAAAGCCCTCAGCCAGGTGGCTGGAATATAGGAAGTCAGCTTCCTCCCCCACCATGTACTGAAAATGGGGTGGCTTCCTGGATAATAAAGAAGGGACCAAAGTAGACTGAGAAGAAGTGTGTTCTCTGTTCCTATTTATCTCATTTTCCAGGAAGGCTAATCTGTGTCCCCATGAGGAGGGTCAAGGGAAAACAGAGGCTGCCCCCCAATCACATCGGTTAGTTGCGGGACCTTGTGACCCAGCACTGCCTCTGAAATGGTGGTTTCTGGAACTTAGTGCTCTGACTGGATTTGTCTAGTGGGAGCCTCTTGCTGGGTTGGGGGCAGGGGCCACAGGAAGGGACTCCCCTGAGGAGGAAGGGATCTGCTAGACCCCAGGAGTGAGTGAGCACCCCCCTGTCAGGATCCCCCTTCCAGAGAGCCATCCTCTGCTGCCCGGGGTCCAGGTCACAGCCATGGATTAGTGTCTTCAACGAACTGCTAAAATATACCTTAAAGGAATTATTTATTACACAGTAGTTAATACTCACTAAATTAATCCAATTTACCTTTTTTAAAAAAAAAATTGCCCTATTAAATGGAGAAAAATATGATTTTAATAGCCAAGTTTAACTAGGCTACGGTGCGAGCATTACTTTTAGAACAAAGTAGATATAAAATGGTACCAGCATCCTCAATTTTCCACTATTTAACCAATCAGTCTATATCTAAAAGGCAACAGATCTGTATTTGTACATTTAACATGGTACAAAGAGTTTCTGAGTAAAAAAAACAAACAAACAAGATATAATGAAGCCCTTACCCTCAAGAAGAACCCAATTCATCTGGACAACACGACCCAATAACCGATGAGTACCAAATACGGGAATATAATTGAGTGCTGAACTGTGTGGTACAGACCATATGTTCCGTAGAAGTTTGAAAAAGAGGGGGTGGCATTAGCATAGATTCAGGAAATAAAGGAAAGCTTCCTGGAAGAGGCAGGCGTCGATCTATGGCTTGAAGGCTACACAGTATGAATATGGTTTACTTTGGGAAAACCAGGACCTGGCGTCACCGTGGTTTATGAAACAGAGAGATGGCACGAAGAGAGTAGAGCATAAGAAAGATGAGACTTGTGGCGGAAGGCCGGCGCACTGGAACGGGCCGGAGAGACCGGAAACACAACAGGTGTTCAGGGTCCCGGCCACCCCACGTCCTCCTGCCTGTTACCTCTTCCTAGTTGAAGCTGGCCACATTAAGAAACTTGCAAGAACGAATTATACTAATAATGCTTGGTTTTTCAAAGCTCATTAAGGATGGCATAAGAAAGACATACTCATATCACATTAGGGACACAGAAGTTCCTTCCTGCTACTCATAGCATGAACCTGTACCTTCAGCTCCCATGGTGTTATTGACACAACCAAAGACACATCCACCCTCTCCTTCCCCTGAAGCAAAGGGCATCCATCCACGAAGGCCCTTCCCACATGCTTCGTTTAAAGAGCAAAGATAATTATTGAATAGTGATGAGCAAACGAAAGGGGATTCTGCCTCTTGCCCAGGCTTGGTGTCTTCATTCTTCCTGATTTGGTGTGCTTATCTGGCCTTTTAGCTAGAAGAACGAGACATCAAACGCAGCCAAGGATTCTGGAACGTAAATTCATCCCTGTTAACTTTGGTTCAGTAGACCAAGCACCTACTAGGTGTAAAGTGCTTGCTGGATTCTACAGAGGATACAGATCTGGAGGAGACAGTCCATGCCCTCGAGATTCCTCTAAGAAACCTGATACTCTAACCCGAGTGCACACGTGCCCACAACTCCAGGCGGAAGACGAGCACAATGAGAAAGGAACAGACACGGAAAGAGCCCATCTAATGGGATGGCATCGGGAGGACAGGGCACCTATGAAAACTTCAAGAAATGGGTAAGACTTAGACCTGGAGAGATAAAAAGGGAGAACAGTCTTGCCCGGCATGAAGGTGGGAGAAACGGTCCATGAGAACAGAAGTACGGGGCACGATCTGCAAGAGCAAGTGATGCATTTACTGGACAGAATAACAGGAGCTGCTCACTGGGCGGTTATGAGAACTGAACGAGTTAAGCCTACAAAGCACTTAGAGCAGTGCTGGGCACACAGAAAATGCTCCATGACCCTTAGCTACTACCTGATTGCTGTTGCTTCACTGTTACTACTATCGTTACTATGGCTATCACTGCTCCTCCTATTTTTGGTGTCGGGGAGTAATGGCGGAACACGAGACTGGAAAAGTTATTTAGGATCATAGTCTAAAAAGCCCAGGATGCTATGGACCGTAAAATATTTTTGACAGAGCTGATGTGTCCTGAGTTTTACTTTGGGACTATTAATCCGGCAACGGTATAGGACGGAGTGGAGTGGAAAGAACTAGAAGGTAGGAATACCGGATAAGAAGTTATTTTTATCATCTGTTGAAAAAGTAAATGAGGAGCAGTACCAGGTGGTCCGTGCAGCGTGGAGAGAGCGGTGTGCAGGAAACAGGTGCTGAATGCATAGAAGGCAGGGAGGGATGCTGGAGACACCGCGAAGGCAGCAGTCACAGGACTCGGCAACCAGTCAGGCGTGGAGAGAAGGTGGTGAAGAGGACTGGGACTGGGGGTGACTAGAGATGCGGCGCCACGAGGTGACCAAATGGGGGGGGCTCGAGGGGAGTGGGAAGGGGGGATAAGGTGAAAGCATGTGAATGGAGAAGCCGGAGCAGCCCCCAGGGAAAGTGCCCAGTAGGGAGGTGGGGGCAGAACAGAGGTTGGGCGGAACTGAGAATCGCTTAGATGCAGGTGGTGACAGTGGCAGAGGCCAAGTAGTGGCTGAGAGCCCTGGAGAGGACAGTGTGCAAGAGAAGACAGCTCAGAATAGAACCTTGCCTTGGAGACGTCTACACGGGGTGGGCGGAAGGTGGGAGGAGGAATTGTGGGGGCGGGGGGCACTGCACAGACCAGTGGAGCAAATTCACTGCCATTTGCTCCAAAGAGCACAGAACTGGTTCAGAAGAACAGAGTCCTTCACCCCGTGGCAATTCTGCCCACCTCCCCCCGTCACTCTGCCCATCCTCCTCCACCCCCGTCTCTCAGCACCAGCACCCACAGCACGTGTACGACCTGCACAGGGGGGACTTTAAAAACCTGAATGGACGGACAACCACAGGATGGAGCGCACTAGCGCTGTGAACTACCGCGGTCACCTCAAGCCCTAGGTATTTAGCTCTCGCAGTGCGCACCAGTCCCTGAGCAGCTATGGCGCTGCTGGGAGAATGGAAAAATTTGAACCTCAAAACCGAAATGCAATCTTGTTTCTGCTCCTTATTGGCTGTGGGATCTGAGACAAGTCACCGAACTTCTGTGGGCCTCGTTTCTATTATCTATAACACGGAGACCATGATAACCAGACCTCCTAGTGTTACTGTTAAGGATTAAATGGAGAAATATGTTCGGTGTGCTTAGCGTAGTGACCGGTAGGTAATAAACACTGGCTTTTCTCTACTAATTAGAGGAGACCTGGCCAATAAATAATCTTTGTTACTCTTCTCCCCCCTGCTTTGGGAAGCACATGACATTTTCTCAACGCCGAGACTTTCGGTGTCTCTGTCCCCGTTGGGTGATGGGGATTGGTGGAGGCAAAAGGCAGGAATTATTGATCCGAAAGCTCTCTCTTCATCGAAGGCTGGGTGCTTGTCTTGCATCCCAGGGAAAAAATCAGCAAGGGCAACCTGGGGCTTATCTAGGCATCGCTGGGTCCCCCTCGGGGTTGCGGGTGACACCTACGGCAGGGCCCAGACACACAGCTGATTGCGTATGGGGAGACCATCTCTGGGGACGGGCCCTGCCTGGACATCAGGGCATTAGCTGCGCATGGGAACCAAGCCCCCCACCAGCAGGCACCTCACAAGGGAGGGACACGGAGATTCTGAAAATCTCCACTTAACTGAAGCACAACTCTCTGATCCTCACCCATTCCGGCTATTCATGGAAGACGCTGCAAACATGGTATTTGACCTTGTACCTTCCGGAGGCTACAAGAATCTTGCTAACACAGGCGATAATTCCCTCCAGACACATTTCCAATCCCAGAGAAAAGCTACAAGGTCACATGACTGAAGAAGAGGAGGGGTGGCAATCGGCAAAGACAGACTAACGTCTTCGCAAAGCCCGGCTCCCGGTGGGAGGGAAGAGCACTGAATAAAGATGCAACACCTCGAGGAAGAACCTAGTTGCAAATTGGTTAGCCATTTAAATGGCCAAATTACCCAAGACATAATTAAGGCAACTTTTCTCCCCCTGGAACTTCTATATGTGAATTAATGGACCTTTCTCAGTAAGCCGAGCTAACACTAACAGCCTTTTCTTTCCCTCAGACCGTTTAAATCGTTAATCCCTTTTCCCAGCTGGTGTTTGTGTTTGCGTCTGCCGTGCCCAGAGGTCGAGTCCCTGTCAGGCTGCGTTTTGCTCTCTGGCGTGCAGTCATGGTGGGCATCGGTCAGGTCAGAGTGAACCTTTTCTGGTTCTTACGTACCCGGCGTTCCCAAGGACGTAGTTAGCACTAATCAAAGGAGCGCTGGGCTGCGATAGTCGGCAAGCTTCACGGGTGCCTTGCAGCCTGCCAGGACTTTTGTGTGTGCATGATAAAAAAAAAAAAAATTATAAAAGTTACCATTTTAATCATTTTTAAGTGTACGGTTTAGTGGCATTAAGCCCATTCGCATTGTTGTGTGACCACCACCCGATCCTTCTGCAGAACTTTCCATCTTCCCAAACCGAAATTCCATTCAACAATGCCCCATTTCCCTCTCCGTCCAGCCCCTGGCAGCTGCCATTCTTCTTTCTGTCTCTACAAATTGGACCATTCTAGGACCCTCACCTAAGTGAAATAGTTGTCCTTTGTAATTGGCTTATTTCACTTAATTGGTGTCTTCAAGGTCCATCCAATCTTGTGTCAAGATTGCCTTCCTTTTCAAGGCTGAATAATATTCCATTGCATATATCTACCGCATTTAAAAACCTATTCATCTGAATTCTTCTGGTTTTAAGTTAACGACAAGCAATTATGGAACTTAGCTCCTTCCCACAGTGTAAAATATACATAACGTTTAACCATCTTTAAGTGCACAGCTCAGTGGCATTCAGCACATTCACACTGTTGTGCAGCCAGGACCACCATCCATCTCCCGAGCTTTCTCATCTTCCCAGACTGAAACTCCACAGCCATTAAACTCTCGCTCCCCACCCCTCTCCCCCATCAGCCCCTGGCAAGCTTGCCTGCCTTGACCTTGAACTGAACCCAGCCTCGGCTTCTTCATCTAAAAACCGGGACGCTGTAATCACAGCCTTGGTCCTAGGAGTCATATGAATGTCAACTGGGTCATTTTCATCCGGCTTAGGCCTTTCTGGTGGCCCCTCAAATGCTCTTTCTGGGTGGTGCTTACAGCTGACTCAGTGGCGGCTGGATTTGGGGGACATCTGAGAACACACACTGGTCCCACGTACCACAGGAAAAGGGGCTAACGCTTCCCACACAGCAAGGAGTGGGGCTGCTCCTAACATTTACACACACCCACCAGTCACTGCTCTTGGTATGATTCAAAACACTTAGCCGGGGGTTGGAAAATAGAGCACAAAAGGAAAGATCTAGACATAAGTCCCTTTTTTTTTTTTTTTTCATTGCAACCTTTCTGGACCCGAGCAAAGAGAAGAGAAAGTATTACTGATTTAGATTACTCATTGCTACCTCCTGTAAGAGCAAATAAAAATTACAAATATCACCCACCCATCCATCAGTGAAACATAAATTCATGAAACTACCATCTTCTTAAAGAGAAGAAAAATAAGTCCCCGTTCAAATTAAGAATCTCACTTTTGGCAACAGAACCAGTTTCAGATTTATATGTATTGTGTGTGTGTTTATTAGATTTTAACAAAGAGGAGAAGCTTCATGTAATTAGTCACCAGAGGGTACCCACACAACCCCGTTAATGTAACAGAGGCACACTGTCAGTGGCATAAAAGGAAACGCTAATTAAATCCCAATTTCTTCCAAATGCCACCAGATCTTCCAGGTATAGGCTCACTTCCTCATTTGCTGAGGATTTACTCAAATGAGTCCAGATTTCAGAGTGGGTGCTGCAAAACACTGCAGAATCTGGAACAAAGCTTTTCGTGAGCAGTGAAGTGCTTCTCCACAGTTGAGATGTGCCTTGCACAGCCTAGGAAAGTAGAACACGGAGCCAAAGAGAGATGGGGAAGGGAGCTTAGTCAGAGGTAGCAGGACGGCTGAGGAATTTTCTGGAAACCAGAAATATAATACAAGGGAAGACTGTGGGGTGGGGAAAAATAAAATTAAGGAGAAGGGTAAATAGAGACGGACAGAGAAAAGACGAAAGAAGAATAGAGCAGGGTGTGGGAAGGGACAGAAACGGCACGGGGAGTGAGGGACGCGAGAAGGGACGGATGCTGAACTCTGGGCCATCCCGCGCGGGTCAGCAGCCCTGGTAACTGTGAGGGACACGAGCTTCTCCCCGCCATCTACGGGTTGTCACTTAACATCCAACATTGGAATGAGCCAAACATGGTGAGTGGTCCAGGAAACTAAGAGATGGAAGGAGAAGCTGAAGATGGCATCCAAGCTTCTGGACAGAAGGAAGGAGGGTTCTCACTCTCTTCCGACATTTCATCGGAGAGGAAGGGCGCGTGGGGACATGAGGGCGCGTGGGGACATGAGGGCCCCCGGACTGCTATCGAGTGGACCAGATGCGCGGCCCTTCTTCCCTCGCTGTTTCTCCCACACCAAGAGCTCTGTCGAAAGAAACAGTCATTCTTACTGAGGGTCCCCACGGCTTCGTCACGGACATACCGGTCCCCTGAGGATGTGCCCTGACAGTAGCTGAACGGTACCCAGTGGGACCACTGCCTCTCTTGGTTTAGGTAAGAGGCGGCAGCCGCCGATGCTGCCAGGTGAGCCAGGTAATGGCAGCAACTGAAGCGGAGTCCTGAGCCTGATCTTAAAGGGGACAGCCACCACTTGGATATATGCACTCCATGAGGGACCATGGTCTGTGATTTTCATGTGAAACTGTCCGATGATGACACTGAATTTAAAAACAAATGAAGCCGCTCTGTGGACCACACGAACCTGTCACCAGAATTCCAGATTTCTGATCTCCAAATGTGTGGCCAGGAAGAAGGGACAGAAGAGAGGACACCTCCGCCCCCCACCCCCACCCCCGACCCCCGTGCCTTCAGCAGGGAACTGAAAGGAGACCGTGGGGGGCCTTCCCATCCTGCTTAGAGTAGGAAGTTAGGGAGCATCGAGGAGAAAAAAAATAACCAGAAAGCTAGGAAGGAAGGCCCCAGGACTGGCCAGGGGAGCCCTGGGGAAGGGGGACCCCCAAAGACCCCTGAGGGAGGCCTGGGCATCTGGAACATGGCACTTCAGCTCCACCTCGGGAGCTGCGCTGGGTGCAGAGCAGCGTTGTGGGTGCAGAGCAGCACTGTCTATGGACTGGGCCGTGTAAAAGACCCAGCTGTGTGAATGATAAGGAACTGGCTTGCTCTCTAAGAGGAAAGAGGCTGTCGATAGCCCCCCCACCCCGCTCTGAAACACCACCCTAGTACCTCTCCCCCCACAGCAAGAGGCTCCCATTTTCCTCAAAATAAATCTTTTCCAAAGACACCTCTCTCGCCCGCCCCTCCCAGAAGAGCTTCGGACCCCCATCTCCTGCGGACGAAAGCCCACATACTCCTACCAAACTCGGGTGTGCGTGCAAGCAAGGTGGACTGGACGGCGGCTTAGAGTAGGGGGACTGTCCTGGCCTGTGAAACGAGCTCTCTTTCCATGCCATTCTCAACGCTACTGTTGCTGCTGTGCCAGCTAGCCACTCTGCTAAATCTCCTTTACGGGGAAAAAAAAATACTCTTGAAATCGGTACGTGGATTATGTATCTGCAAATAAACGTTGCTCAAATGCTGGAAAGGACTTGGTTCTCTTTTTACCATATTTACTTGTTTACAGGCCCTTCCCCTCCGATAGTAGTGGACAGACTTATTTCATCCCAATGGCTATTCTGATGACCATCAATCTCAAATTGGTGGGATGAGAACTATTGAGGACTCAATGATATACATTCAAGAAACTTAAAAATAAACTAGAAAATTCTACCCGATTTTAGTCCGCACGTACTACGACCCTGGATCCCTCCTTAGCACTTAGCTGTTCTTTAGAGTTTCTGAAGTGAGGTTCGTAAAGAAAGTCAGGCCCAGCCTCGGGTTCAGAAGTTGGGGATGGGGGGAGCGGGGGGGACTGTACCGTGTGCTTTGAGGAGCATCAGAGACTCCTGTGCTTCAAAGTTGCTCCATGACGTACCCTGGGCTCCTAAAAGTCCACCGGTATCAAGTCTTTCTTCTGTTAAGCAGCGGTGAAGAGCGAGGGCCCAGAGGCAGACGATCCTGGCTCTGCTCCTTAACATCTGTGTCACCTGAGTCACAGCACCCACTCCATAGACTTGTGTGGCTAAGATATGGCAATACATATGAAGCCCGTGGCAGACACTCAGTCATGTCGATTACTAGGATTCCTTCTAAGCCAGTAATTCTCGTGTCCCCTAGTGATGCGCCGTGGCACACCAGTACGTGGTGAGATGCTAAGAACTCCCATTGTGAGCTCTCTCTCCCCAGAGCAACGCCCTAAGCATGCAAGTCGCCAGCATAATATGCATTTGTTGTAATTAAATGACTTCGTTTCATGACTGGAGAGACCCTGGAGCATGACAAGCCTGTGGGGTGAGACGAAGATCCACTGAAGAGCAGAGAGGAGAAGAGCGGGTGGGGATGGTGCAGGGGACACACACTCAAACACACTTTGTCTGCCGGACTGTACGAGTGATGCGAGACGTCGCCATCAGGGGAAACTGAGCGAAAGGCATATAAGACCTTTCTCAGAATAAAAAGCTTCTTAAAAAGAAGTCTGCCAGAAGGCCAGGTCCTTCAGATTCTATTGTATGGAGTCTGGGCGCCATCAGCAAGCTGGCTCCTCCACCAGCTCCCTCGGGCGAGGCCTGGGTGGCCTGAGAGCAGAGACCGTTTCTCTTCACCTCCGTGTCCCTGTCACAGTGCTGTGCCTGGCACGCTGCAGACTTGTTGTAAATGCTGCATCAGTGTGTAAAAGGATTAATCCTCCTTCCCAAGTCCCTCGCCCCTGAGGACGAGCTGAAAGCATGCCTTCCCCTTTGGCTACAGTGCAATTGTTTAGGGTTTTGCTGCATTTCATTTATTTCTCTGTCTTTGAAAACCTCAACGAGGAGAAACGTGTGCACTGCTGTCAGCTGCAGACGCCCGGCCAGGAGGTGAGCGGGAATGGAAAGCAGCCACCACTAGCATCAGGAGGTTAATGGTAACAGGGCCGAGGCTGGACCATCTTCAGCTTTCTGGAAATGTGGGACAAAGGTTAGCTGCTCTTCTGAGCTGGTATTCCCTCTCTGCTCTGCCTCCTGCCTCCAGTTTGGCAGCCAAAATATCTACTCTAATTTCATTCCCTGATCTTGGCCATGTGCTTTGTGAATTGCCTCTCCTGACACAAGATAACGTGAATGAGCAGAGGAATTGGCCCCCTGCAGAAACCAAAAGCAAGGCCAAGTCTGTTTGCTAAGAAAATACGCTCCCTGCTCACCAACCACTGTGCAACAGGTAGCTTCTTCTCCCTCTTCTTAGTGCCTCATCATAATCCGTGAGCATCTGGGGTCCGCCAGACCCTGAGCCAAATGCGCTCACGAATAAGGGGACCAGACCCCCCATCCCCCGGGGAGCACTGTAGCAGGCCACGCCAGAGTTACCGCCCAGACGAGCCAGCAGACACGAAACGAAGACAGCACCTGCTCGATGTGAGGCTCTGGGGTTGGGGCGCCCATTCTCGTGGTCGTGCCCTCCCGAGCAGAGCCTGTGCCCTCACCTGTCTGCACCTTCCCGAGCTGAATGCCTAACTGTAATTCCCATAACTGTGCTGCAGGGCAACCCGACATTCGCCCCTACAAAGACCCGGATCTCTCGCACGCCCCGTACCTCCCAAAGGCCCTCACGCCCTGTACTTCGACTTCTGGAATCTGGATGCCTCCTTCGGCCATGTGTGGTAGCACAGCCAGTGCCCAGGTGTAGACGCCCATCATATCTGAAGTGGGGCCCCACGCAGGCAGCTCCTTCTGGCTCTGGGGCTCCACTAAGGGGAAGGACATTCCTCACCATATCACCTGGCCCTGTGTCAAGGAGAGCAGGCCCCCAACAGTCCCTCTACCTAGCGGCATCAAAATGGCCAAGTGACATGAGCAAGTAGAATGCCATCGAACTGTATTAGATGGAAAAGGGCCCGTGCTTGACTCTGTTCCCAGGTGACTGCCCTGCCACACGGCAAGGTGGACAGGGTGGGGGTTCTACAAGAGATTCTCTACAATTCTCTGCAGGAGAGAAATGAGGGTAGTGAATAAAGTGCCAGATTCATCTTCTCCCGTGTCTCCTCTGTATCCCCCCATGGACTCTGGACCCCAGTGGGCGAGGGGTTTGAAAGCTTCTGTCGCCCCGAGGACCAAGCTGGCTTCCGGTAGGCCAGGCTGAGAGTTGACGGGACAGGTCTGTAGAGAAGGAACACGCTGGACTCAGCTCATTGTCCCCACTACTCAACATTTAACTGGGAGTCTTTGTTTAGTTGACATTTTTTGACGAGAGAGAGAGAATGGGCCACCCTAAGCCTGAGTGGGTCTCTTCCGACCGCCTCTTTCTTTGTGTTACACGTTTCTACAGGAGGGCAGGACCGCACGCCGGCGCGCGCCGAAGCCTGTCAGAGACGTGGGCGCCTGCTGCTGCTTTGGGTCTGAGACCTTGAGCCTCAGGGTAAAAGACGTGAGTCCCCTCACAAGGGCTGTGCCCCGTTTTCTGGATTCGAGTAGCTGAGATCGGCAGGGTGGGAGGGGGACCAGGACACCCTGAGACTACACCTTTATTATTGGTAATCGTTGTAATTAATATTTGTAAACCACTTCTGCAGTTTCCTGATTACTCCCATGTACCGCATTTTCTTTATGCCGCCCTGGGGGGTGGACAGGAACCTTTGCCCACAGTGGACAGAAGCAAACGTGCCCCAGGTCTCAAGTCTGTCAACCACCAAGTGGCAATCTCGGGACTCAGACCCAGGCTCCTGACTCGAGTTCTCCGCCCTTCCCACGGCCAGGCCGCCTCCGGCACTGACCTCTGAAGTTCAGGGCGGGTGGAAATGTCACACAGAAAAATTTGACCTTACGAATCAAAATATCAGGAAAGAAATACCACCGTGACAACCTTATACTCTTTTGGATTGCCAGCATTAGTGACGGAGAAAGCGAGATGCTGTCTGTTACTGCAGATTCGTAGAGACTTTCTATTCGCTCTCTGCATGCCAGGCAGGGGGCCAGCCACAGGTACGTAACCTTGACAAGCATATTTAAAACCTTCCTGCTGTTGACAAATAAAATGCCCTCTTTTGCTCTCCCAATAGCAAATCAGAGATGCAAAAAGAACCTTCACTGTCCGAAACGCGACACAACACAACAGTTAGTTCTTGGTGAACCTTCGGCTGGAGACGGAATCCGGCCTCACCTCCTTCTATTCCTTTTAGTTTCCACTACCTGCACCCCACTTCACCCTCAAAACAATAGGGTGAACAGGCAGCTGCTGGCACTTCCCTCCTTAGTACTTCCATCTCCAAAGCCTTTTCTTTTCTTCCCCAGGAAAAAAAAAAATTTAAAAGCCCAAGGCAGTCAGGGGTCTTAACGGTGGAGTCGATTATTCTAAATGCCAGGGACCGTAACTCCTAGGGAGCGTAGGGCCCCTGGGGAGGAAGAAGGAGATGGAAGCAAGTGAAAACCTAGAAGATGCTCACATCTGGCTATGCTAGGAAAAGCGGAGCCCCGGGCCAGTCCTCTTCCGGTGGTCCCCAGGACGACAGACCACGGTCATGTCTGCTGGGGGCATAAGCTTCCGCTTAGATCGCCGAGGCCATTTCAAGTTTAATGCACTCCCAAATTCCACGTGGGTCCTCCTCTCCAGGTAAGAGTGACTTAGGCTCTCCCCAGTCTTGCCTTCAAAAACAGAACCCTCTCTGGGACCGAGGTGGCCCTACAGTCTCTGTTATATTTTTATTTCCCAGGCCCCTTTTGCCACAAGCTTTGGCGAGCTCAGTGTTGCAGGCTCAACCCTTCCCCAGGGTGGTGGCGAGAGAACTTAATGAAAAGAGATCTGAAAGGAAATGTGAGCAGGCAGAGGGGGCATTTAAAGGTGAAATATGGGAAGAAACCAGGGAGGATATTGGTTCCTTAGGGACACAAGAACATGGGCACCCGGTCGGCGATGTCCAGGGCATGTGCTGGCTGCCCTCTTATTGTCCTGCCCCAGGGTGTGAGCTTACAAGGGTGAGCTCATGCCTCCGCTCCCAGAGATGAAAGGCGCTCGAGGGATGATTCTTCACTGTCTGGTTTATTAGACAAGATAAAGGGCTTCTAGACAAGATGGCAAGATGAAAATGAAAAGATATTTCTGAGAAATTAGAATAAAACCCAAAAGATAAGAGGAAATAACGTCAAAGAATATGACACCATAGGATAGGAGAAGGAGAAATCCAATAACTTTGTAATATTCCGTATGCACAAATATTCCAGATCTTCTAAACAAGAACAGCGCTCCTCTATGCTCCACAGAGCGTTTAGTAAAATCTTGCATCGGTGGAAGGAAGCTCATCAGTGCCTGGGGGGTGGGGGCGGGGGACAGGTACAGCCTGGTGCTCAGAGCCCCCCTGCTGAGGGGCGCAGGATGGCTGTTTGTAACATGACAAAACAAGCAGAGACGTGTATCTAAGATGAATGACAAAGAGCCAATAATGGAGGGAAGAAAAGCGAGCAGGGTTTTAATAGTTGGAAAAAAATTATCTCTAGGAGATACATGAGCGAGGTGTACAGAGCTCCGGGGTGGACACACAGACGGATGCAAAGGAAGGTGGCTCCACCGTGCGCTGGACGAGGCTGGTTTTGTTTGTTTGTTTGTTTGTTTTTCATTGTGATAAGATGGAAATCTCAGCACCGCAAAAGAGGAAGCTTGGCCCAGAGTCCCCAAACTTCCCGCTGACTGAAGGTGAGACGGCTCAGTTGTCTGTACAGTTCCAGGCACAGGGTCCTTGCTGTGGGGACTGGGGGGCGGCTGACAAGAGAATAAGGTCCTCTCGCCTCTTTTATCTCTTCCCTTGGGGCAGAAATTGTCAGCCCTTGACGTCGATTTTCTAAGCTCATTCTGGACAGTGAGTGGTACAATTGTCTGCGTGTTTTATAGTAGAAACAAAGAAAAGAAAGCGGCGTGATTACTTGACAGCATTTTTAAAGGAACCTGGAAACCATTACAGATCCTCACTCCTTGTGGCACTGCCCAGCTTCTCTCCCCGTAAAGGGGGCACGCATCCCGCTCTAACCTACTTAAGAATGACAGACAATAGACACGGTCTGTTAATTCCAGCTGCTTCTCACAAGAAAGGAAAATCTGTCACATGGTGATGTCGGAAGGCCGCGGAATCATAAAGAGATTTCCCAGAGGGTCTCCTAAAATAGGAGAGACAACCAGAAGTCACTTGGGTTGAGGTGATATAGTACAGAACACTCCTGCAGCTGCAGGAGACAATGCTTTCCCAATACACACGATGAACTTGCTCAGAATCTAGCTACAGCCGTGATATCGACACCTGAGAGCTCCCGGAAGTCCGAATCTATGACATGCAGAACATCAGACAGATCCCTGCCTTGTCCTGCCGACAATTTTTCTTTCTCAAAAGGCAGAAAAAGTGCTTAGGGAAACTGCTATTCTTGACACAGTTCTGACCACGAAGGCAGAACCAGATGGTGATGTGTAAGTGGCAGCGATTTCCCGAGTAGTGAGCACTTGGTCTCAGGATCTGTAATAGCTTGGGAAGGGGACACTGAGCACAGGTGACATGGTCAGCACTCGGCCAGCATCTATGTACAGAAACCAGGTATGTTCCTGCCTCCAAGAGCTTGCAGTGTCCATGGGAGATCAGTCACTCCTGAGGGCATCTGATCAGCGACAGAGAGAGGCAGAAGGGCGAGTGTTTCAGAAGCTCGAGGAAGGAAGAGAATCTTGTGGGGTAGGATGAGGGCATCGGAAAAGCCTGCGCAGAATCCTGATGTGAGCTCACTTAGAGAAAGTGATGGATGAGAGCGAGCGAGCGAGAGGAGTGTGTGTGTGTGTGTGTGTGCGCGCGCGTGTGTGTGCGAGAGAGAGACTGTGTGTGTGCGAGAGAGAGACTGTGTGTGTGTGTGTGTGTGTGTGTGTGTGTGTGAGTGTGTGTGAGTGTATGAGAGTGTGTGTGTGAGTGTGTATACCAAAATATGTAGATGTGCAGAAACATAGTAGGTATTTGGGAAACCAAAGCAAGTAATATCTCTACAAAGGGAACACATTCCAGCAACATACTTTCAACAAAAGAAACTTCATCGCAGAAACAGAAGTAGATGATTGTTCTGTTTTCTCTTGAAATATATAACGTTATGTAAATTTAAGGCATAAAACATGTTGATTTGATT